GGCCCCTCCCATCTCCCAGAGCTCCAGGGGCAGGTCCTCCTCGCCTCCTTTACCCGATCCCGCTGGGCATCCTGCAGCTTTTGCACAAAGCCCCTCAGGGAGTCCCTCACGGAGGCCATGTCCACGTCTCGGCCACGCTGTCCTGGCGCTGGTGAGGGCCATCGGAGTGGTGAGCGGGACCTGGCAGGGGGGCTGGCGCTATGCTGCACAGAGCCACCCTGGGAGCCCTCTGAGCCTGCGGGACAGAGAGGGCTGAGGGGATTTGGTGAGGGCTCGGTGACACATGCAGGTGCCCTGTCCCCCTTTCTCTCTGCTGTCCCCACCACAGGGAGCTGGGGGCACAGGCTCCAGGCCCTGACTGTGCTGAGTGTGAGGCCCAGGGAGGGGTGGGGGTGGCCCAGGTTGGGGGGTGGAGCTGGGAAAGGACCCCCTGAAGCCACGGAAGACACTGACCTTTCGTGGGGGAGCTGGGCAGCCCAGGGGAGGCAAAGGGGCTCTGTGCTCGGAGCCCCAGCTCGCAGCATAGTGTGGACCACAGCTGGCCCAGCTGGCCCTGCGCATCCCGCCTGGCGCCCTCTGCCCAGGCCAGCTCCTGCTCCAGGCTGTGGACCCGGCGGCAGGCCCCATCCAGGTCGGCTCGGAGGCCATCTGCCACGCCGCTGGCCTGCTGAAGCTTCAGGGTGGCGCTGTGCAGCTCGGCCCGGAGGCTCTGCTCGGCCCCGCGGCTCTCTTGGAGGCGCCCCTCCACCTCCGCCAGGGTCCGCTGCAGCCGCAGGACCTGTGGCAGGGCCAAGGGGCTCAGGTGGAGCCCGGACACGAAGGGCCTCTGGAGATTGGCCCCAGGCCTCTAGCATATCACAGCTGGGCGACCAAGGGCCTTCCTCGCAGCCCACTTGGGGCAGTAGAGACACTGAGCCCAGGTGGGGAAGGGCACCCCGGGACCATGGAGCACATCCTGGCAGGCAGCAGGGAGCCCCCTTGGCAGCCTCGTGAAAACCTGGGCCAGGCAGGGCCATGGCCCCCGCTGCCCCTCCTGCGGCCAGTCCCTTGCTTGTCTGGGGAACCTTGGGGTGCCAGACACCCCACCACAGGGTGACACCTTGCATAAGTGGAATGTCCTCCACCCCGCACATAGTGCTCAAGGACTGGGGGGCAGAGAGGCGCCGGGGGGCTTCTCCCGACTCCCTGGCCGGGCCTCCCTTGCTCCCACTTTCTTCACTCCAGCCTCTGGGGGCCCCCTGGCATTCTCCCTGGCAGTCCCCGCACCCCACCGATCCTCGCTGGGCCACCCTCCCTCCCTCCCTGACCCCGCTGTCC